TGTGGCCTGTCCACACACAGACTTTTAGGGTCCGGCTCAAGTTCTAGGTTGGCCCTTAGGATTAGCTAAAGGAGAAGTCCTGGGACTTTTCCTCATCATTTCCAACTTCTTCCCCCAGGACAGAAATCCTCTCTACAAAAGCGCCGTCACGACCATCATTAACCCCCGCTTTCAAGCCCCAGAAAGTCCTCTCTGAAGAGGGTAGGGCTACTCACTCCAGGGTTCTTCTTGCTGGGGGGATGGTGGGAACTGGGGCTCTGGGTCTATCAGGCAGCAGCCTGCTGGGGGACTAATCACCGCCTACTGTACTTGGACACCCCAGAGGCCGGCCTCCTGCCGCACCCTTGCTTCCCCACCCAAGAGTTGCCCCATCCACAAATACAATAAAGAATCTTCAGATTACAGATCACTTTAACAAACACTGTGTATGCTGGTATCCAACCTCATTCTGTCTTGTCCAGCAGGGTTTTTTTCTCTTAATCAGAATTAATACATATATACGTATTTTAGATACCTCGGTTTCAATTCTACTTGTTGCTTGCCTGTGGAGAAGGGGAGTTTTAAAGTGGCGGTTTATAGGGTACTAGAAATTGCAGGATGGTAATATTTGGGGGGGGGAAGGGAGATCATGTTGGCCCCAGTGAAAAAAATTCCCCACAAGATATTCTTTTCAAAGATGAGATAGTATGTAAAAAAGCCCCATTTTCTTTTTATTTAAATATCCTAAATATATCACGAAGGAACATACACTGCACTTTAATGGTAAAAAGATACAAGTTTATAACATCTTATAAAAACTACCATTTGAAAGTGATCTTGTTCATTTGATATTCCCCACCCCCCATAGCAAAATAAGTATATTAAAAAAAAAGAGAGAGAGGGTGGGTGGTGAGGCAGGTGGAGGGATTAAGATAAAAGCCCCAGAACTACAGCAGAGGCAGAGCTGAGGAGAGGGTTACTAGTAAAAGTCGTGGCGGGACTCTGTGTCTCTTAACCCTCCGATGTCAAGCCATGGGGCACAATCAGTAGCTAAGTGATGACAAGAGGCTGTTGGGGGTGGACGGAAAAGACTTGGGGTGCTGGGAAGGGCAGGGC